TTTTTAAGTACGTAAGTAAATTTGTAGATATTTGGATGAGCACAATAAAATTTACCGTTAAATTTTAAATGGAAAACGTCACAGCGATTTGTTTTCCGTGTAATTGAACCTGAATAATACATTGCTCATAAAGAAAGAGGAAAGTCACAATCGGGGGCTCGAATATGTGTATAATATATAATCTGTAAATGATTCTAGTTTTTCATTTTGTGTGAAAATTGATATTATATCATCGGTAAAACTGTCTAAATCTTCAGGTTCTAAAAAAAGTGACCTAACTAATCTAACCCAACCTACCAGGTAACTAGATTATCCCGAACTTCATGCGATGACACATAGAAATTGAAATTCGTAGTCAATTTTGGAACCCAAACAGTACTTCGCATACAGATTAATAATTTACAATACATTTTCAATCTAAATGTGCCTACGTATGGAATTCTTTTTTGCGATAAGTTTTTAGTGATGCTCATGAGATAGGTATTGAATATAAAACGAGGAGGTCACATTTGAGATCCAAACAAAATATCACATAGTAGTGGAAGTCACATTATTGTACACCGGGTAAAGCATTTATAAACTTTGTTCATACTAATCGTGGCTTAAAAATGAACTCCTTCCCATGATTTATCAGACCATCTAAATTTAAATCACATATCGAGTTAATGTATAAAATGAAAAAAATAGGACCCAGAACATTGCCTTGAAGAACACCATATTCCATAAATTTATCTTGGCTTATTACATTATTTATTTTTATTCTTTGTTTTCTATTAGTTATATAACTACGAAACCAATTTAGACTACGGTCATTTATTTCAAAACTAGGTAATAATTGTAGTAGAGTTTTATGATTAACTGTATCAAAGATTTTAGCCAGATCCAAAAAAATAGCTATTACTTTGCTTCCATTATCTATTTCATTATATATAAATTGTTTCGTACTATAAAGGGCTTCATCAGTACCTAAGCCAGGTCTAAAGCCAAATTGATTTTCGGAAAATCCAGGAAAATCATTTTCCTCCAAAAAAGTAATTAACTTTAATTATTTTCTCTAAAATTTTGGAAAAACATGTCAGCAAGAATATTGGCTTATAATTGATTATGTTTTTAATATTTAATATTATTAAGTCTGAAATACTTTTCACGTTCAATTTCAGCTGTTATTAAATATTATGGGAGTCTTTGTGAGCTCTTGTTACTTGAATATTTTATAACCGAAAGTAGATCACATCCTAGTGACAAAACATTTCATATTTTACCTAATATCTAAAATATTATGTGGCATTCTATTCTAGAGTTATTTAATATTTTTTTTAATAATTCGCTCCGTATTTTTTATTTGTTGACATTTTTGATCTGTTAAATAAAACTAGGAAGACGGCGTAATTTATAGGCAAAACATAGTGCATAGCTGTGATGGAAAATGTCGTAATTTATTATGTCATAATCACTATTGTTGCTTTATTTATTCATAAATAAGTACGTGGAAATAAATGTATCTTATGCATCTACTTTCAGATCTTATTTCATAAGATTAAGAGAACACTTAAAAATAAGTTTTTAATACGCTCTCCCTAAAAATTTACAAAAAAAAAATATTTATATACCATATATATAAACAATAACTTATTGTAATTTAGGTGTATTAAATACCAAACAATTTATTCCTATTTTATTTATACATTTTATAAATATTCAATTGAGTTAATTTGCTACGATGATAATAATATTAAGTTTTTTCTGATCGAATTCGTGATTTTTGATAATTTATTAATTTTACCTATATTTTATATTTTTCAGGCTCTCCTCACACGGAGGTAATCAAAAGAAACTGAAATCGCCTAGATGCTAGGAGACTGAATAACTTAAGTTTTCAATTATCTTCGCACACGGTATACCAGATTAGTGTTGCTTTATAATTTCAACTGCATAGTTTAGTATTTTTTCAGTTTTTCGTACAATCCGTGTGTATTAATATCATAGGTGGCGCATATCTTGTTGGCATAAGTATATATAAGTGCTGCTCCATATTAATTATTCAATTATATTATAGGTTATATAAATGAATATTATTTTGATTATTGGTCAGTTCAGTCAATTTTAATGATTAAGGTACTTTTATTTTATATAGGTATATCATTAGTTAAAATACAAATTTAAAGTAATAATTAAAATTTCACAGTACATTTGTTTAAAAAAAGAAAATAAAACACATTGTTTACAGTTGCTAAACAAAAATTGATCAATTAGCCTTCAAAGTACCATTGTTTTTTCAGAGGGAGTTAATATATACCGTTAATAAATCACTGTGACTGTCATGTATCCAGGCCCATATTTAAAAATTTTGCGTCCCCGGGTTTATAATTTATACCCCCCCCCCCCCCCGAAAAAAAAAATTATAATTATATAACACTTTTTATTTCGTCTATAATCGATATTCTTTAATATTAAAACTTTTTTTAATTAATAAATTATAATATAATAAAAATACAATATTTTTTTAATTTACAAATTATAACATAATAAAACATAGTATTTTCTTTTTTTTTCATTAGGTACATCACTTTTAATATTAATTTTGCTAAAATATTTTGCCACCTCTGAGACTTGACGCCTCCGGGGATGTGCCTACCCGTGCCCCCCCCCTAAATACGGGCCTGCGTGCATCTATAAAGATTCGTTATCACTACGGTACCTTGCAGGGTGTGCGATGTGTGAAGCTAGACAACACAAAAGCATTCCGTGCACGGGACACGGCACACACAATGTTTACATATTATTTATTATATAAAATTAAATTATAATATTTTTTTAAAGCTGGCAGAAAAATTTAACTCACAGGAAGAGAAGCTCTCCCTGTCCCTCCCCATACACTCCTATGATTAAAATTTATTATTAATATATTATGTATATTATTTATTATTAGTATATTAATATTTGTATTGTTATTAGTAGGTATTTCATAATGTCTCTATTAGTGATTATAATAACGATGAATATGTTAACTATCATTATTATAAACGTCACACGAAAAAACGCAGAAGAAAATGTTGGATCAATCCTTGTACAGAAAAAAATGTTAACCACAGACTTTTCGTCGATACCTAAGAATTACAGGTAAATTTAATGCAGCTCGATTAATTAAAATAGCGAGGAGACCGACATGAGTAATTGCGAATCACTTAGTCGTGGTGATTTCAGTAGCACAATATGAATGACTCCATTGAAACACACGTCCGCAGTTGCCTAGTTGCCTAGTCTTCCAATACAGGTGTCTAGGCGATTACAGTTTCTTTTAAGTATCCCTATATTAAGAGTGCCTTAGTCCGTTCGATGTTGTAAAATAGAACGTGAGTCGTATATGATTGTGTCTCTGTTATGAATAAAATTAAATAAAATGTGTAACAAAATTAAGGTCACGTAATAGTCTTATTGAAACGTAATTCATAGTCTTGAGTGTTATTAAACTCGACGGGTTTTTATATAAGGTTTCGCGCGTCATCATCATAAATAGTTGCCCGTAAATTAAACGACTGAAAATGTTAAAGTAGTCCAAGCTCCGCTCACAATGTGCACCGCGTCTCCCGAATAATATTGTTTTTCGCATTTTTTAACACAATATGTTAAGTTATACACGGTACTGCAACGTCCAGCTGTAGAAGTATGTTCCTCGTTTCGTTCGTACTCGTTATTCGATTTTTAACCATCACCCCCCCCCCTCCCCGTAAGCGATAAAAAACCTCTGATACCGATAACAATATAATAATTAACATAATATTGTACTTTTTCCCTCGCGGAAATAAAACGCATTCATTTTTGTCCTCGTCGTGCGGTAGAATAATTCGCGATCGTTCTGCATGCATTCGATACGCGAGTTCACCGCGAGCGGTTTAATTAGATATTTAGTTATATATGTTAAAGTATATTTACTTTATCTATTAAAAGGATTTCACTGTGTTTTACGTACAATTTATGAATAGGACGACGCCATGGTGAATCGATAGAAAACCGTTATTTTCTAAGATTATAAAAGTCCGTACCCAATATCGTGCTGATAGGTATTGAAGTGTCTGAAACAAATTTTATGATTTAGATTATATTAGCGCGAATCGGCCATTCCACGTGTACATTTTGTACGCATATGTAAACCATATTCTACTTATCGGTTAAGGCATATGGAAGATAAAACTAGAAACAAATCCACTTTTTCAAAATCATAGAAATATGCAATGAAAAACGATTCTTGAATTCAAATAATACATACGAATTTATAAAAAAAAAAATCAAAAAAAAAAAAAATCGATCGATATTACATTTGCGCGTAATCAAATTCTATAATTGCGCTTGTGAAAATCCAAAAAAAATGAGCGCAATAAAGTCAACGAAACCAACACGAAGACAAAAATAAAAGCGAAAACGTTCGACAAACGATGTATAAGATTTAAGTAGGAAAATAGAATATCAAATTTGATTTACGTAAAATTGTTGATAACGAGTTAACATATTGTGTTACCGTTCTGTATAACTGTGAATTGAACCAGATAAATAGAAACGTACTTAACCATAGTTCTACATTGCGATGTAAATAAGTGGTTACGTAATGTTAATTGTGATGTAAAATTAAAGTAATAGTTAAACGCGAATCGCGAAAACGCTCAGGGACGCGACGGTTAGTTATTAACACTATCGAGTATAAAGTGTTCTAATACCCGTACATGTGTATATAAATCTGCATAATATTCGTTTCGATTATACCATAATATATATTATTATAAGCATACGTTATATATTGATACAAACGTGTTCTATTAACGCGTACAGCCGACCAGCAAAAAAAAAAAAAAATAAATGTAAACTCCGTACCTTATTAAAAAAAAAAAAATTAGCGGGGATTATCATTTGATAGGCTACCACGTTTAATCCGCGTCTCCCCCGCGATTCATACGTACTTACCACCGTATTATATAAACCACGATCGACTTAAAAACGCCGTCTGTTCCGGACGTGTGTACGTGCAGTAGTGTTTTAGTTGTCCGGACTCCGGATCGCACGCGTCCAACGCGAAATGTTTCCGGCGCTAATAATGGACTTCAACCGGACCGTATCGAGGCCTTTGCCGCAAATGGGGTAGGCTGAATGGCGAAAAATCATAGGCACAACCAGGGGGGCGCAATTTTAGCACACCTGAGTTCAAATGTAGCGCTCATGTTTTTCTTTTCAAATCTATAGTAATTACGGTTAAATACCATTTAATTTTATTTTCAGCAATTTCAACACCCCCCCCCCCCCAAATTTGGACTCTAGTTGCGCCTATATGCGAAAAACGGAACTCGGGAAGCCACCCCTACCGCTATCTGCGAATCGTGTACAAGAGGTGTATTTTATGTTCGCGCGCGCAACGATCGCGCACAGATACGATACAGAACGTGTTGACGACTTAAGGTTTTTGCTCCACTCTATCTCTTTCCGACGCAGCGCTGCTGCTGACCCAGCTGCATAGTATCATTCGTATTTTTCTAGGTGCATAAAAACCTGTAACGACTATTTATGTATACGGATTTTATACATCATTTTTTTCATATTCATCATATCTTCTTCGTTTTGTCGGGCTTGTTTACAAATGGTTCTTATCATTTACTCGGTAATGAATGATTTATTTTCCGAATATACGGTTTCAGTGATTTCCTATTGAGCTCTAAAGGTCAAAAACGAATTGTTTCGACCTGAATGTAATTTCTGTGGATAATTTCTAATATTTTTTTGGTCATTAACATTGTCCGATTTGTTACTGTGAATATCAATTCATCGACAAAGTATAATTGAATAAAAACGTACCAACGAATCGATTATGTTAATAAATAATATAATATATTAATTTGATCGGCATTGATTTATGAATTCTAGCTCGGCGGATGACGCCGGGGGCGAAACTCACTTGCTGGGATGGAACCTCGGCGCCGAAGATCTCATTCACATCCCGGAACACTGGTTGAAATACGAAGAACCTAGTGCATTACAACATTACTACTTGGCATTTATGTACACTATTTTTACAATAATCGCATTAGTCGGAAACGGTTTGGTTATATGGATATTTTGCATGTAAGTATAATTAGTAAACATACATTTTTTAAGTTTTATAATTTTTTTTTTTTTTGCCTCCGTTAAAAACATTACAGTAAAACAAAATTGATTAAACAAAAATAATACTAATAAAATAAATGTATAAAGGAACTAAAATGAATTAAATTAAGAAGCCAGCGTAATAAATTAAGTTAATAATGGAATCGAGCGAGAGTTTAACAGGAGGTTTACATCGGGGGGTAATATAACCAAGAGAAGATAGAAATGAAAAAAGGAGATATCGGCTAGAAAGGAGAGAAGGACATTGAAAAATGATATGGATAAAGTTGCATTCCGTGTCAACGTAATATCGAGTACAAAGAGGAAATGAGTTAAAAGAGAGCTTATAGGCATGGCGAGGAAGAAGAATATGGTTGAAGACTCTGGCCTAATCGAAGACGAGTGAAAGCAATGATCAATTCGCTAGAAATTCCCAAATCACTGAACCACGGATGACAAGGGATGGTGGGAACGACCAACATAAAAATATGTTTCGATATTAGCAGTGGTGGTTGAATCGCGAGTTATTTAAGTAAATTTAAGTATTCATTTTAAAAACAATTTGTGTTCACCGCGAGTTATTTAAGTAAATTTAAGTATTCATTTTAAATACAATTTGTG